AAAGGTTTGTTCTGGGCTGCAATTCTCTCCTTTTCCGATTTTCGGAGGTAAGGAGCCGCCTCCCCAAAAACAGCCATCTCAGCATCTCCAGAGGCCATGTCTGCACTTTACTGACTATATGTCAGCAGACAACTCTGAGGAGAAACAATATGGTACTGATTATTTTATATCCTGTGCCTTGGTGTCTCTCCATACCCTGGGTATTTTAACATGAGATAACCAGAAACTTAATTTAATGTCAACTGAGAAAATAAGAGGCTATCATGGATGTAGTTTAGGTCTTCAAACATTCATTAATGTCCTTYTCAGAACTGTGGATTTGGTGCTTTTGGATTTTGGTGCCTGTAAGACAAGAGTGAATTTGTTGAACAAGTTCACACTGTTAGGAATGGAAATAAAAGGATTTGTTAAAACCATGAACAATGAAATAAAACTACTGAAAAACTGTAGTGTAGGTGACCCACAGTCTTGGAAAAMAATCTGTGGGACATTTGCTTATTAAATGGCAGTGAAAGGTAGTGGGTAATTAATGAACTTTGCTAATGAAGTTGTCAGCTGAAAAAAAAGAAGTGCAGGCTTTGTGACCTTTTAATATTCTGCCACAATTTAATTTGCTCTATTGCATTTGTCACTGTTCACTACAATGTCTAGATAACTCCAACCCCAAAGTTCTGATTTAGATGAAATAAAAGTCAAGCACTGAAATTGGAATTTCCAAGGCTGTATAAGGTCCCAAATAAATACTTACTGAAAAAATCTAGGAACACATGAATTCTCAGAAGTTGAAGATAAAAAAAATATTTCTTCAAATGGTTTACTAAACAGGTRAGCACTAAATTTAGCCAACTGCACTTGAAAATTTTCTAGCTACATCAGTAAAATTTATTCCCTCTTTATTCATTGGGTAATACATTTTTTTTTGTCTCGAGTAAGAAAATGTGTATCTAAGAAAGTTGAGAATTCTGGCACTTTACAAAGATGGTTAGAAGGTCTGTATGTTCATATAAATTAATAATTAATATATTCTTAGGTAGAATATTGGATTTTGCCTTTTTTCCTGCTATGCTCATATGGTCATGTTCTCCTCCAGCCATAGCAAAGATGGGAAGACAGCACACCTTGATTTACATAAGGTCAGTTAAGCAGAAGTGAAGAATGCCCCATGGGGATTTTCTGCCCTGTCATCTGTGGGCAAAGGCTTCAAATGCAGCACCTCCATCACTTTCTACTGCAATCCCACCAGTTTTGCACATAGGTGAACTAGTGAGCCTTCCTGACACCCCACCCAAAAGGATCTGTCCCTGTCCCCTAAGAATTAGTAAATCAGGTTCTTACCTCTCGTGACACCAGATGTGTGGCTTGTGGGCTGGCAGCTGATCAGTACTGTAAAACAGAAATTGCAGTTCCAGAATTGCTGCTGCACAGAAACCAAGAGCGAAAACATGCAGGTGCCTTGGAAACAGATTTATAATGGAGTCCCCTCCTGGACATGAGCACCAGAGGCAGCAGGAATGTTGTGGCACRTTAGGCTGCCATCCCCTTCCTGCCAGTCTGCAGACCCCATACTCTTACCTTGAAGCTTTCTGTGGAGCCAGGGCAGACGTGTTGCAGGGACGTTTTATACCATCTCATCTGCAGATGCTACAGATGCCTACTCTTTCTTCGGTCAAAAATATTTTGGCAAACACTCTTTGGTGAAGCATTGTCTGGCAAACTGAACTAAGGGCATAATTGTCATTTGACATGACTAGATATAATTAGAAAATTTTGATGTCTTAGTGGCTATATGAATACATCTCCTATAAATAATGTGACAAGGGTGTTAAGGAGAGAATCTGGACTAGTCAAAGCACTTAAAGAACTTGGATTCAGGATTTATGGATTCTATTGCTGCCTTTCCCACCGACTCACAGCACGACCTGGGATGGATTGCTTGGTATGTCAATGCTGCAGCTATCTCAGCAGYACAATAGATAAAAGAGGATGTTAAAAGATAAATTAGCATTATTAAAARCTTTTGGCAGTTTTGTTGGTTGAACCCTGAAGCAGAAGTGCAGATGTATAAGAGGTGAGGAGGGTGACAAGCACAGCAGGGTGGTCAGCAAAACACTGCAGCAGRGAGAGGCTGGGTTTTACCTGGGTTTTTAAACTGATGCCTCTGACAGATGTGAGGCAGCTTTGGGGTTATCAGGAAGAGTGTGCACTSTCTCTCACACACACACAGAGGCATGAGTATGTGTGCCTTTTCATACACACTTCAAATTGCAARTAAGTGGGAGATTTTCTAAAAACTGTTTTTGTGACCCTTGTGAGGGGTTATACCTACTGAGACTTCTGATCTGCAGGATAGTGCCAGTGAGCAAGAGATGCTTGCTCACTTAACCTATCCCTATTATCCCCTTATTGCTTAACCTATCCTTAACCAATACCTGCAACCCTAGGAAGGATAACTCTGATTTGAAATGCTTTCCAGCTGAAACCAGCACATCTACCTACAAACGATAGAAAAATTCTCCATGCAGTCATACCTTTACAAATAATTGGACATATGCACAAACACATCATGTCAGCATCCAGTCCCAGATGCTCTCTACYTGATACATCCTCAGTCCAACACTTCCATTTCATCACAAATATCTTCCAGACTTAGACAGTCTAAAACACCACGGGTACACCGGAGCACTGTGGGTGGCAGACATGCCTGTACAGTGATGATGGATAGGGGGAAGGGGATTTGCTGGTAGTGCTGGAGAAAGACTGGTCTTGTTTTAGGAATGAGCCCAGTCATGTGAGCTGATTTAAATCCTGTCAGATTTAGACTGAGTACTTAACGCCTTCTTTGCCTCAGTCATCAACAGAAAGAGTGGTTATCCTCAGGGCAACYAGCCSCTGATGCTGTTAGTCAGGGATAGGGAGCAGAATGGACTCCCTGTGATCCGGAAGGAATTAGTGACCTGCTGAGCTTAGACACTCACAAGTCTATGGGGCCAGACAGGATTCACCTGAGGCCACTCAGCGAAAGGTCTGAAGAACTTGCCCAGCCCCTCTCCMYCATTTATCATCAATCCTGGCTAACCAAGTGTGAGAGACTGAAAATATCAATGTCTTGAGGCATTTTGGGACACACGTGTATGGGGGAAAGGCAGGTAAGGCCTTGCTTGCCCTGGCAAGGCAGTGCCCCTCCCCATGTCCCACCCCACCCAGAGCCATTATCCCAGCCTGGCTGARCTGCCAGTCATGGGCACACCAGAGGCAATCCTCCACACCGGCCCCTGGAGCCCCTAACCCAGGCCCTGAGTGGCCAAATGACCASAAGTCCCACCTGGGGAAAAAGCCCAGGAAGACCAAATGGTATTTAAAGCCAAACATCAGGCAATCTCATTATCTAGCTCCTACCTTACACATGGAAGTTCCATCTGAACATCTGAGCACTGGAACCCACCTATCTGTGTGCTTTTCTATTTCTTTTCTGTCTTCCTCTTTCTTCTTCTTCTAATTCCCTCTTCTTGGAATATCCTTGAGTAACACTGAATGACCTTAAGGTTTGTAAGTTAAATAAGCGAAGTTAATGCTGTGAGAAGTATTTTATGTTGATTGAATGTTGCACTAAACCTTTTGCCAAAGTTTCTTGGATTTTCCAAAGTTTGCCAGTAAAAGCTTTTGTGTTGGTTTGACTTCTTGAGAATATCTTGTTGGTATTTCTCCCATGCGTCCACCTGAGAGTATGTGAAGTATTGTAAGCCCTTTTTAAACTATTGTCAGGTAAATTGATGGGGCCCTTGCATCAAGCACATCCCAGACAACTGGAAGTTGGACAATGTGATGCCCATCCACAAATAGGGTTGGAAGGGGAAYTCAGGGAGCTACAGGCTTGTCATCCTGACATCGGTGCCAGAGAATGTTATGGAATAGATCAACTTAAGTGCTATCATGCAACACTTAGAGGGCAACTAAGGAGGATCAGGCCCAGCCAACACAGGTTTAGGAAAGGCAGGTACAACCTGATCTCCTTTATTGACCAGATGACCCATATAGGTATATGAGGGAAAGGCTGTGGATGTGTCTACCTGGACTTCAGCAAAGCCTTTGACACCATCTCCCACAGCATCCCTCAAAGAAAGCTGCAGCCCCCAGCTCTGATGGATGCACTCTTTGCTGAGTTAGAAACTGGCTGAGGGCCAGGTCAGAGAGTGGCAGGACCTGGAGTTAAATCTCACTGTCAGTCACTAATCGTGTCCCCAGGACTCTGTGTTGATCCCAGTCCTCTGTAATTTTTTACTAATCATCTGGGTAAGGGGATCAAGGGCACCGTCAGCAAGTTCACAGATGACACTGAGTTGAGTGGGAATGTTGATCTGCTGGAGAGCAGGAAGGTTCTGCTGAAGGATCTGGGCAGGCTCAATCCATGGGCTGAGGCCAATGGTGTGAGGTTCAACCAGGCCAAGTGCCAGGTCCTGCCCTTGGCTGACACCAACCTCCTGCAGCTCCAGGTTGGGGCAGGGTGGCTCAAAGCTGGAAAAGGCCCTGGGGGTGCTGGTGACAGAGGCTGGACATGAGCCCAGGTGGGCAGAGAGGCCAATTGCTCCTGGGCTGTACTAAAAATAGTGTGTCCATAGGACCAGGGATGTGACTGTCCCTCTGTGCTGGACAGTGGTGAGGCCACAAGTCTTGGCCTAACCAAGGATCTTGTGTCCAGCTCCATCSCCTCACAACAAGACAGACATTGAGGGGCTGGAGCAAGTCCAGGGAAGGGAATTGAGCTGGGGAAGGGGCTGGAACACAAGTCTGATGAGGAGCATATGAGAGAGCTGGGAAAGGGCTCAGCCTGGAGCAAAGGAGGCTCCGGGGGGACCTTGTRGCTCTGCACAASTCC